GGCTTCTGGCTGAGCAACACTCTCTCTGTGGGAGTGCACTGACCACCAGGGGGCAGCTCCTGCATTGGGTGTCTGCCCCCTGGAGGTCAGTGCACATCATAGTGACCGGTCGTTCTGGTCATTCCACCATAACAGTCGCTTAAGTTTTCATTATATAGATCATTTTCAATTTTAATTAAAGAAGTTTAAAAATAACAGTTAGAAACCAAATTTGAATAGGGAAACTTTTAAATATCAATGATTAATGGATTTTTAAAACCAAGGATTCAAAAAATTAAACATTATTTTAATGTGATGTTGGGTTTTCAGTATCGTTGCCGAATTACTGCATTAAGTTCTTTTTGCCAAATCTCATTTCACTTAGCAATATCTACCTTGAACGTTATCTTGAATGTTATCTTGGTCATACCACTTTTTTTCCCTTCAATTGGGTCTGTTGCCTTTTTTGTAAAGTTGGACATTTTACCACATTATCTGTAAGGGTCTTTTAGTTCTGAAATTTAGTAATTATATATAGCTAAGAGTCAGAAGAAAATTGCTTCCTGTTTAGCTAAATCAGGTATAAGGAAAGGACTGGAAAGCTCATAGGCCCTCAACTAATATAAATATTCTTTAGGATAGATTATTAGGAAAGGAAAAAAGTAAAGAAAGGGATTAATTACTTAGAGTCAGCCATGTAGACGTCAGCAAGACACAAATATTTTGTCAGAAAAAGAAATCTTTTTTTTAAAATGTTTTTGTTGTTGTTTGTTTTTTAAATATATTTTATTGATTTTTTACAGAGAGGAAGGGAGAGGGATAGAGAGTTAGAAACATCGGTGAGAGAGAAACATCGATCAGCTGCCTCCTGCACACCTCCTACTGGAAATGTGCCCACAACCAAGGTACATGCCCTTGACCGGAATCGAACCTGGGACCTTTCAGTCCACAGCCGACGCTCTATCCACTGAGCCAAACCGGTTAGGGCAGAAAAAGAAATCTTTTGATAAAAGTTAAATGATGTCGCCCTAGCCGGTTTGGTTCAGTGAATAGAGCGTCGGCCTGTGGACTGAAGGGTCCCAGGTTCGATTCCGGTCAAGGGCATGTACCTTGGTTGCGGGCATATCCCCATTAGGGGGTGTTCAGGAGGCAGCTGATCGCTGTTTCTCTCTCATGGATGTTTCTACCTCTCTATCCCTCTTCCTTCCTCTCTGTAAAAAAAATCAATAAAAAAAGTTAAATAATGTTAAGAAAGCAAGAGAGAAGCTTCATGGATCTGAAAAAAGCACTACTTCTTTTAAAAATTTTGTGTTTAGATGATTATGTTTGGACAGATTAGAGGAAATACAATCTGCATTCTTCAATATATTGTAGATTACTTTTAAAATGCAGTTTTATAAGCACAAACTTATGAAGTTGATAATGCAGTGGGTTCTCATATTTATGACCAACATTATAAAATCTGTTTGCATATATTTAATTTGGCAAACAGTTTGTAATTTTTTTTAAAGTAAGAGTTTATTTGAGCCAAACTGACGACATCTGCCAGGGAGTAAGATCTTAAATGCTCTGGGTCTCCCTTCTGAGTCTTGTATTCTCTTTGCTATGAGCTTTTAATAAGTAACCTAGAAAGCTTCACCAGTGAGATTTACTGTCATATTATTTGGGTGTGTGTTAAGAAAGCGGTTAGACAGGTAGAGCTAACTCACTAGCTTGTTTTAGAGATTATAGATTTAAAGTTTCTTTTGGTTCACCTGATAGTGGCACATCACATTCTTGTGGATTTTTAATCTTTAGTGTCATCTCTACACTTCAGCCAAAGTTATTTTATGTGGTTAATCAGTATATTATTCAAAATTATATATTATGCAGTACTTACTGATGTTGACACTCATTTGCAATACATGCAGGCTTAAAAAAGACTCAAATTGCTATATAAAATCTGAATTTTTTTCCCCTATTAAAAAATATAATTTGGGGTTTTAGGTTTATCCAAACATCTGATGTCTAATTTGTGTGACAGTACCACAAGGCAATGTAATTATAATTACTTACATGTGTACTATGTAAAGCTTTCTAAAATTTATGCCAAATAAGAATATAATTTTTAAAAAAAGAATATAATCAACTGCATAAAATGCATTTAATATAATACATTATCATAGTATACTGTAACTCTTGCCTGTTATTGTTTTGTTTTTTAACTGCAGTAAGTTTGGATGTGAAGGGAAATTTAATGAAAACTGTGACATTGAGAAGGTCTTTGGGGACAGAATTGTCAGATATTTTTGGGGTACCACTAGGCCACTGGTCGGCAAACTGCGGCTCACGAGCCACATGCAGCTCTTTGGACCCTTGAGTGTGGCTCTTCCACAAAATACCGACTTCTGCGCATGGGCCACAAAGTTTCAATCGCACTGTACATGCGCGCCCGCACGTGGTATTTTGTGGAAGAGCCACACTCAAGGGGCCAAA